GAGGAAGGGGGAAATTTCCATTCTAGATAGTAAAAAAGAAAAAGGCGTTCAAGGAAGAAAATGGTTGAAAGATAAGGAAAGAGCAAAACACCCTCTGGACAGTGAGGAGGAAAGAGATGTTCAGGGTAAAAAACAAGTGAAAGAGGAAGACAAGGATAGGGAAAGTTTTCCAAACTCAAGGGAAAGGTGTGGTGTAGGAAAGGGAACTTCAGGTACATTTAACGAAGGCTAAACTGTTTTTTTTTTATTTGAAAATGTATAAAATGTTTATTTAAAGATACATAAATGTTACAAAGTTTTAGAAAAACGCTTAAATTTTTAGTCGGAAAGCATACGCCGAGACAGTGGATCAAAATCGAGGGTTTGATGGGCAAATTCGTCATCGCTCGCGCTCTTCGCCAACTCTCTATCAATTTCTGCAATTTGTTGCTGACGTTGAGATAGCATCGGCTTGGTCTTTTTTTCTAGATCTGCAGCAACCTCCGTTAACATAGCCTCGAGCTCCTGTGTAGTCTTTCGTCTGCCTGAAACAAGAAAAGACATTTTTCCAATAATTAACATTGAAAGCCGTGAAAAAATTTATGTGAAGCTATTTCAGATATTTACCTTGAGCGGCGAAAGATTGTTTATTCCGTGATCCATCCTGTGCAGCATCCCCCTCATACTCCAGTAGTCAATTGATTATTGCTGGAGTGTCTGGAGTCATCGGGATAATATCCTAAGACGATTGCGTATCCTCAAACATATCGGGAGACTCCTGTGTCGATTGAAAACGTTTCTTCTGCAGGTCACGCTCGCGAAATTGTCTTTGTTTCTCTCTGGCAAACAATATCCGTTTTTCCCGTGCATTAAATGCGTCTTCCTTCTTTCCCGCGATTTTGAGCCATTTTTCTCTGGCGTTGAATTCGGCTTTCTTCTTTTCCGCGATTTTTAACCGTTCATCACGAGCACATAATTGTGTTTTCTTCGGCCGATTTTCCTTGATTTTTGATGCACTATTTTGTCTAGGGTTTGCATTTTCAGCACACAGGTCCGTGAAGATGTCGAGGTTGTCCTCAAGCATGCTCTTCCACATTTTTTTATCCTCAGCACTCGCTGGTTTAATGTAACTTTTTGCTTGATTGTCTCCACAAGAACGATTGCGTTTTTTTACCGATTTTAATTGTTTCAACATTTTTGTAATATGTGCGGCTTCATCACTATTAGTCACTGATTGATCACATACTATTTTCAGCACTTTATTTATGTCCGATATCACTGCTTTACGCTGTATTTTTTTCTTAAATGTACCAGATATGTAGCCTGTACGATAGGTTAAACACTCGCTGCCCTGAGATTTTGAACCCCCTTGACTTGATGCCATTTTATGTAGAAATACAAATGTTGTTAAATTTTCTCTTACAAGGCCTTTATATAGAGCGCAGGCGGGGCTGCTCTACAGATTTTCCTAGTATTGAAATTCGTAGGGGTGTGGCTATAATGACCTATAAGAAAGAGGTTACAGTTTTCTTTACCCTGTCATCCTGGTTTGCATTGGTACACTGCTACTAAGAGAGATCTGGGATTGGCTGATTATGCTTATAGATCAGTGATTCTTCCCCCGCAGGAAAATAATATTCTTCACTACACTCCTTACAAAGTTGAAAGTGTTGAAATTTTTCACCCACATTTGCCTTATACAATTTTGTCAATTCTAATCCATCGAAAAGATGTGAACCGACCTTCCTCATTTTATATAATAATACATCGCTATTCCACAGCATTGCTTTATTCACAAAATGTAAAGTCTTGTCGTTTTTGGCGTAATTTCGTTCATTTAATAAACTAGCAATGGCTCTGCTTTTCAATGAAGGAACGTTACGAACAATTTGAAAACTTTCTGCTATTTTTTCATTGGATTCAGCTGGCTCTTCGTTATAGCAGACGTGAAAATTTGTGTATACTGCCACTTCATTTTTCTCCAGATGATATAATTTATTTCTCCTATGCTTGATATTTATTTTATTCCCCGTTTTTCTTTTCCTCTTACGTGCGCAGTCACACTCGTCGTCGAAAGGCTCATCGTCCACCTCATATGTTGCTGTGTTTTTTGAAGAAATTTTCCGATATTTCCGCGGCATATAGTCTTCAGCGCCTGAATATTTATGAATAATAATCCTGTTACTCTTCAGAACAATCTTAGGTCTCTGATCTTCTTCGTAATTGCCGTTTGGAGAGTTTTGCGCCAGATATTCGTCGAATAATTCCATGATTCTGTCTCCCGACATTGCAAATACTTTCAAAAAACCTACATATTAAAAGCATCCAATTTAGCGGCTCGTATTATAAGGCCCTCCAAGCGCCCGTGGTGGGGGTTATAGTAGCGCTGCGGACGGTACCATGTGACCGCTTATGCACCACTCATGAGCGAGTACGTGTATCATGTGTGCTCCCCACTCTCGCATCTGACGCTATAAAGCCCGCGCGTACGTGGTATTTTTTATTCAATCCTTGTGATATTGCTCTATGAGATCGTAGTAATGGAGAATATTAACGCTAAAGGAACCGTGTCTGCCGAACAGCAGGTACTATTGTCACAAGTTTTTCCCCTCAATAAATCGGGGACTAAACAAGTGCGTGTCGTCCTTGAAGTGACCTGCGTCGGAGAGTTCCTCCCGGTGGTGCAATTTATGGGGGTGCGCCCGAACCGCTTCACGATTTCAATGTCACGGGATGAGTGGAGACTACTGTACAAAGATATGGCATCCATTACGGACTATTTTGACACAGCCAAGTTTCACCCAAACACGATACCCAATGTACCTGAAAAGCAATTTAGGGGTCTGACAGTGAAATTCCACCGGAGTTTTGAAAAACTCTGCGTGACCTTCGTACGGGATGCGGAAAAAATTCCTCTCATCATGATGAACCCTAGCATTGAAACATTAAAAACCAAGGCTACGTGGATTAACCAGTCGCTGAATTTCTTGGATTCACTGCCTTTGAGGGAATACAAGGACGCCCTCGTCAAAGCTGTCACACGTGTTACAATGGGCTACATGGATTACAATAGGATGCCCGTGACTGAACAACTACACTATCGCATCGGGAATAATTTCGAGGAGATATACCTGCTGGCCCGAGATGAGCTTCAGCGTGCAAACCCTGATGCCAATTTAGGATATTTATATCAATTGTTTGGCGAAATGTATCATTTATGCTATGACGAGCTAGATGGTTTTGCCGGAGGGCAATACCGAATGCCCTCATACTAGATAAAAATGTATTATACCTAAGATAACGATGATTTTTATAATTTTATACATGTGGATAATTAAAAAAAAGTCATATGTACCTGTAAACTGTACCTCATAATTTTCGAAACAATTAAAGAAAAAAGTCATTCGTAATTATCGTGTTAATAATTTACAAAGCCTTCACCCTGGAAAAAGCCATCCAGCCCGTTTTTCCCATCCGCATTCCACCGGATATCTATTGTCCGTATCTATCTTTTAAGGAAAAACCAAGACTGGCGCCTAGTCTGAAAGCCTATTACCGGTCATGTACTGATTATGAAAATCGCGATAAGGGCGTGACCAAAGGGATGAACGTGTCTAGACACGCTTCTACGCTATTCCGCCTGGGGGGTTGGAGGGGGGATTATACTTGCACGTGCACGTCCATTTCCTGGAAAAAAGGGGGGAGGGAGCGTGGGAAATTCCCCAATACTGGCCACTTACTACTTGTTACGCAGGGCTAATTTCCCCTTATGCTAACTTTACTTCTCCTTTTATCTTTTTTAAATATCCCTCCTCTGATTTATATATTCATTCTTTCTATAGTTTCATCTTTCTCCTGACATATTAATTACGCCTCAACCTTCATAATTAAATTTTATTAATTTAATCCCCAGGTGGTTATCAATACGACGAAAAATTTAGCTACGTCTTTCACAGGACGTGATGAACTGCCAAACTGTTCTCGAAAAACCACACCCCCTCCATGTCAAAAAAAAAACCACTATGACCACAATGTAAATTCCCACAACTTTTTTTTTTACATTTTTCCTTTTCCTATTACCATTGTTACCATGGTTTGATAGGCGCCCCTTCGTCTTAGCCTTTAGCCTCTCCTACTATCCTCTCATTAGCCTCTCCTACTATCCTCTCCTTATTTTGCGGTAGCATGGGCCGACTTTTCTGTACTGCGCCCATTTGGCGTGTACTGAGGGAAACCATGTAAAACCTCAGTAGCGCAGCCGGCCGGTACTGCGGGGATTCTGCTGTGTTCATCAGTCACACTGACTCGGTGAACACACCAGCTCTCCGCACCCGTGCCTGACGGCGGCAGTCTACACGCCGATGGGTGTGACTAAGCGGGCACCCATCCAAGTACTAACCCAACTGAGCGTTGCTTAGCTTGGGTGATCGCCGGAGTCACACACCGCCCGCGTGGCTACTGTCGCCGCTATTCCCACAACTTTGATAGTTGTTTATTACTTGCATGTCGCATATTCTTCTACTCCATTCACCAAATAAATAAAGATACGGATATTTCTGCTCCGATGGATATTTTTCTTCACCATTATTTCTCCACCTCCTGACAATAATGGTGGACCATGAAATAATTGAACAATGTGGTTGGATTTTAGGAGAAGCCTGATATCTCGATTTAGATCGTAATCGAACTAACTTAGTAAAATGTGGAGAAAGCCGAGATTTCACTGTAACTGCTTTTTTTCAAATATTCAACGTCAAACCCCCATAACTTGACGATTTTTTAATTTAGAGAGTCCTGGCCGGTCTTGAAATACGGGTGATACTAGGAATATCACTAGGTATATGATGATGGTGCTAACTCCATAAGGTAATATCCATACAGTGGGTCCTTTTCATGTGGACGACCGCAAATTAATGTATCTTAAATCGTTTACTTTGAATTAATTGGAGGTGCTTTCTGCTTTTAGGTGATATATAATATTGATCTAAATTGAAACGGTTTTTTGTCGTTTTTAAGGTGTCATGCACGGCGGAATGGGTTTGCAAGATATAGTATGTCTGCCCCATATTTCAAAATATATGATGTGAATCCTAGAAATAATCAGCCAGTTCCACATTTGAATTATGAGTGTTTCGGAGGCGGAGTTGATTGCCAACGTTGTGGATTAAAAGTGTATCAAGCAGAAATGCATGTAATATACCCCTTTTATTGTAAATCAGCACCAAAGAGATGTTCTATTTTATTTAACGATACGAATTTTTTTTCAGATTGCATCCGGCGTCCCATATCATAATATTTGTTTCAGCTGTTATTGTTGCCGAAAATCTCTCGAAACGTTAACTTATCATGAAAGTTGTGGTGAAATATATTGCAAACGTAATGCAAGTGCTTCGCTGAATTCTATATTAAGACGACTTCTTATTTCTTTGGACTGACAATACTATTTTTCAGAATGCTACATACGCAATTTTGGACCGCAAGGGTACGGCTACTCCGGTGTACTTCAAACACCAATGTGAAGTTTGTTTCCGCTACTGAAATATTTTATACGGTATGACTCAATCACAGAATTTTGTGGTGCCTCTGCTGAAATAAGACGGAATTTTTGGAATAGTTGGAGGACACTGCATAGAATTTTCAACTATATCCGAAATACAATCAAAATTTTCAATAAATTACGAAAAATATATTTGTTTAATTCTGCACGAAATAAGTTGTGTGTCACTTCATCCTAGTTTCTGTCCGCCAAAAAGATGAATAAAGATGGGACATCCACGTGTAGCTTCATGGGATGTGCGTACTGAGAGAAATAATTAGAAAAAATTACGTGACTTTTCACGTAATCCATAAGCGACACCCATTTCTTAGTAATTTTTGGCAGGATCGACAGGAATAGTTCTGAAACTATCTGGACTTTCGCTGGTTTGCCACGGCACAATTACGTGGATGTGACTCCACAATAATTATTAGTGACTTTTAAAAACTATCGAGAACATAAACTCAATTCAATAAACACATTCAATCAAAACAACCAAGTGAAAGACAGGTAGTCCACCTAAGTATCTGTGATAGTGTACTGGCAGCCATCTGACAGAGAAAGAAGGTGGAATCACCATAAAGATTCACAGCAATTAATTGATAATCTGTCACAGTGAGTAATTGTCCAACAATAAAATCTGAGATAAATCCATCAATGATTGTGAGGCCTTTTTTTGTAATTAATTATTGATAACAGTAACCTTGTAAACCAATTAAAATCGATCCCAGTAAACACGTAAAGTTGAACTGATCTCTCTCTCATTTCACTTAATTAATTTAATCAAAAATCAGTGACAGCAGTACCATCCACGAGTAAGAATAAAAAGAAAAGAACAGCATCGTTCAATAATTTTAAGTAACGAATTCTAGTTTTAAACCTTAAGTAATGTCTCTCGACGCGAAATTCTCCGGATATAACAACTGACGCCATATCAGTCAAACAGCTTAGCATACCTAGAGCTGGACGTCTATCTGATAGTGGGACTGCTGATACCATGTCTGGATGACAGGAAAGAGCGTTCATCTCCCTCGATTTCGCCATCTCGCCATTGTCTTTAATATTAAATATTTTTTATTTCTAAAAACCGACGTGTTGCTCAATCTCAATACGTCACACTCCCCCAATAAAACTTATTATCCAGAAGGATACAACAGTAAATAAAAAAAAAACAAAACTTTTCTATACAAGTCCAATTTTGGACCTTGTGAGTCATTTGTAGCACTTTTCCTGATCTCGTTGCGGAGATTAGGGATAGTTATTACCTTCGACCATCCCAGTACTCGCATCCTTATAGTTCAACCGAATTAATGCGGGCCAAAATGTAACGAAAACCGAAAATACCAGAACGAAGCCAAGAAGGTGGGGTAACTCTGGTGGAGACCTGCCTTGCCCGAGGTCATCCGACCTCATCAAACCGAAAATCCTAAAATATTCGTAAACAAGAGCACGAAGGGAAAGGACGTGTGGAGCTGAAACTCGTCCTCGCGACAACACAAAATCCGTAAATCCCGCAAAAGCCGTAAAACCATAAATTACACCAGGCGGGGTGTGACCGAAAACTGCCAAAGAGAGGCTAGAAGCCGATAAATTGGAACGGAAGCCGGAAGGCCTGGGTTGCTCAGGATACTAGGTCGTGGAGAGAGGGCCGGGGTCTACGAATACGCGAATGTAATAATCCATAAGAGAGACCGCGAAGTATTACGACGCGTGGATCGGGACACCGAGAGCAGACTTGCAGGAGTCCGAGACGCGAAAGCTAGCCTCGAGGACTCGACAATTCTCGCCGAAAGCACGACGTAAGATGGCGGAGTGCCGGAAGGCCGAGAGTGTGCTGAACAACTCACCCAAAGCACACCGTCGAGGGTACGGCGGGTCCATGAGGGTGACCCGAAAAATAGAGAACGTATCCTGGAGTGGTAGAAATCTCACCCAGGAAACGTCACGCGGGGGGTGTATTGCTCCCACCCGGAGAGCGTTACCAGGGAGAGCGTAGTCTTCACCTAGAGAACATCACCAGGGAGAATATGGCTCTCACCTAGAGAACACCGCCAAGGAAAGTATTGCTCTCACTCAGAGAGTGTTACCAGGGAGAAGATAACCCTCGCCTAGAGAACTTGAAGACCAATGCATGGAGCATTGGGAGCCATCCAAAGGCTCGTCGGAGAGCAACCTGTCTGGGCAGTATTGCCGATGCCCCTCACTCTCGACTGCGGCTGGGTGGGCGGCCGTGTGCCCTCGCCTCAGGGACGTCGCCATTGACCCCTTCGAACAACCCCTTCGAAGGTACAGCCGTTCGAATGCCTACCCCATCTAACATGGAGCGCTCATACGCCGGTATGAGTCCTATGCTATGTGCCAGGAAGTCTCATAGGGGAGCTGGGAATGTTTCCACGTGTCCGCCCTGTGCTCTTGCCTGTCTTCAGGCCTCCTAACACCCTAAGCACTCGAGCCCCAGTCCTCACACCCTTCGACGATTCGAGAAATTCCCGGGGAGGATCGAGATAGCAGATACGAGAACAGAAGTATCCAAAAATTGGTTTAATGTGCGGGATTTGCAAAAATCCCATTACACATTTTATGCCTGATGGGCTATAAAGTCCCCTCTCATATGGGCTATTAGTCCCTGCTTTATGAGCAATCAAAACTATTTTAGCTTCTCAGTTTTTAATGTAATTAAGTTAGATGGACTTAAGTAATTCGACTTATGCTGGTTTCTATTCTGACGTTCACCTGATTCCTTAATCTATCGCAAAAAAACTAATCGGCCTAACTCTTAAAGTCTTACATGCTAATATATTGGTAGGTATTTTCTCCTATTGGATGACTTTATACGCCAATTTTTTTTCTTAAGTATTTCTGATACTCCTGCCTGGTTCTGATCCTGGTCTTCCCTGTGGGTGGGTTGCCTGAGTTACAAGCCACCCAAGTCTCTTCGTGATGAGTATTGGAAAGCATGTGGGTGCTCACCTCAAAGTGGCTCGACAATCTGCTAGCCACAGAGAAGTCTGGGGGTGGTATCTCTCCACAGATCCGGGGTAAGGTCGGGACAGTAATCGTCCTAAATTCCCCACCGACAAACGGGTGTCCACTGATTTTGTCCGACCTGGAAGTCCTGGTTGTCGCTCGGGCTCTACGGTCTCGATGATGATAGCTGCTGGGGCTAGCCTCATGATGAGGGAAACTTCTTTTATTACCTCCCAAACCATTTGTCGCAGGGGTAAGGGTGATTCGGAGGTTATTGATCTTAATTGTATGGGCGGTCCCTCCTTCCTGGAAGGCATTCTGGACCGGCGTCTACGAAGATTCGCTTCGCTGCTGCTAGAACCTGGACATCCTCTTATCTCACCCCACAACGCGGAGACCTTTGACAATGGAGGCAATTTGCAACATAGCCCGGCGGTTATTCCGAAAATTCCTAGCGAAGTCCCTGCATAACCTAGCCCTGCCTCTACTAGTCTGACTCATCTAGTCGTGTCCGTCTGTTTGGATAATGTTTTAGCCTTATCAATAATGACCTGCAACGCAAAGCTGTGTGTATTAATACTGTCCTCGTCATTCTGTCCTGTCTACACTGTCTGGAGCAAGTTTGTACCACTCAAAATTTCTGAAAGATTGTTTGGGCCTACTTCGCGTATCGTCTCGTTCACGATAGTCGGAATGTTCAGGGCGGCTCTGTCCGCGAATTTCGTTTCGAATTCGGAAGTCGGTTCAATGAACGGAGTGGGGGTAACAGATCGCGATCGAGCCTCACAATCAGCGCAGAGGATGATTTTTAAGGTGTCCGTGATAATGATTGCAGAGGGCTCGCATCCCGAGTAGCTCACTCGCATCTCGTCTTGCATGACGACAGAGAAAAACCACGCATTGCAGTTATCTATACGCACCCAATATGTTCACGTTATTGCTTTCGCCAGTACATCGCATATCTCAGAGCTGGAAAACCTAGGATTGATACTCATCTGCACCTCGCAATCCCTTTTTCCATGTACCTCATATAATGGTCGTGTAGTCCAGAGGTGGGCACACTGCATCCATAAAATTATTATGGTTTCAATTATAAGGGACCTAACGTGATTACAAGGGTTGGCGTATATTCATGTGGTGGGGTAACAGCGATGGCGTATGCGCGTTATTTGAAATGTGAGGGAAAAATGGTTTGAATTTGTTTAAGAAATTTCTTTTTGTTTATAAAAAAATTGAATTAAAAGATGATTGTTTAGATTCAATATTCATAAGTGTAAATGAAACTGGGATGCTCGTGAATTTGAGAAGGGAATATTTCATAGTCAATTAAAGATTAAAGGACGCCGATAATTTTTATGATTGTGAGAAATTTGTTCATTTAAATTTGGCATCGGGAGCGGGAAATATAGAAATGAAAAGTTTGAAAATGTATGTCGATTCAGGTCTATCAACAACATGGTAATAGTTAATAATTGTTTTCCAAACAATATTTGAATTGAAATTTCAAAATTACTTCAAGAAATCTATGAAAGGTACGAAATTTTTTTTATAAAGACGATTAAAGGTAACCAATAACCAATCAAAAATTAAAAAAAAAACAAAAATTGAAAAAATATTTCCATTAAAGAAATAGAAAATTTTTCTATTTTACTTTTCCCGCCACCAAGTTTCTGCCGAATATCCCTACTACTCTTGCCTAGGTGCAAGGCATCATGGGCCCGAAGGGGGTGCAGCCATTAACTTTATGGCTTGGGACAATTTTGCCTAACGGAGGTCGGGAGCTGGAGTTGCTCCGAGAGCTGAGGTTGTCCACCTCTGGTGTAGCCCGACATATGAGTTCTGTCGCTCCTGTTTTGCAGTGGCTGATGTTCTAGCTGTCTAATTTAAGGGGGGAGCCTACTTTAGAGGCGTCAAAATATCTATATTTTCAAGAATTTTTTTGTAAAGGAATGAAATGTCTGATTGAAATGAAACTTTTAGGATTTATTCGTATATACGTGAAGAGTCTTCTCAATTTTTTTTATTATTTTACATTAGATATTCTTCATACTTGAAGACATTTACGGAAGCGCCTCGACTGTGCGATTTGTGTGTGGCGGGCAAGATGCAGGTCGCAATTTTCATCTGAAACAAAAAAACCAAAGAAATTATTAATTTTCAATAGTGTAATTCCTAGGTGAACCAATAAAATTCAA